TATGAAAAAGAGGCAAATATAAATATAGCAGATATAGCAAATATAAAGTTTCTTCGTAAGGTTTTTTTTTTTTTTTTTTTTTTTTCCCTTGAACACTTTCTTCTTGCAGTGAAAACCAAACTGTATGCAATTAATCTGCTGTCCAAATTCTAAATCATTATTATCTAGGTACCATTTACTGTCTTTGTTTTGAAAATGGAGACCTAATAGAAAACTTGTGTTACTACAACCCCACTTTGCAGTCAGCCTATGGAAAGAATAATGTTCAAAAACTCTTTGAAACTGCAACTTAAATGATCAAGTTAACATCAAATGGAAAAGTTAAAAGATAAATACCTGGATACCTGTCTAAAAGGAATTAACTGGAATTAACTTTTTTTTTTTTTTATCCTTCAACACTTCCCATGATTTAAGACTTGCACCATCACTCACCAGTATCTTAAGGATATTGAAGGGCCTGGGTATGAGTAGGTGAATATGCAGAGTAATCATCTAACAAAAGAGCAAAAGATTTTACTGAACATATGTGGTAGAAGAGTATGACCATGTGTTTTTGCTTACATACATGCATTAATATGCATTACTTGTTTATGCATAAGCAAGTGATCAGGACCTACCAAGCAATTCACCATACTCATATTCCTATCTATGGGTCAGTGGTTGTAGGAGGCTGTGTGTCCCATGGATCACGCACTGATCATATTGATTTGGGTGAAGATATTCAGAGATGTAGTGATTCCCCGAACAGCATGAAACCGGTTGTAAAATGTGGCATAAAGAAAAGAATAAAGAATATGACTAAAAATAAGGTAAAATAAAAAGTGGGTCCCTTTAACTTGGATGGAGAATTAACAAAAGAATAAAGAGATCAGAGAACATTTATATACTATTTGTGCTTCAAGTCTTGTAATAAGGTAATAAAATTTATGTGTTCACTATAAGGATGCATCCTAAAGATAGGCATTTAATTTCTGCATAATCAATGCACATAAAATGTCACAAATAGGACCATACTTTAGAAGAACAACTATAATCCATTAAAGTTGTTTTGGTTGTTTTTTTAATCATTTATTTTCATCCTGGTTAATGTAACACAAAATGAAATGTTAAGCTTTTGCTAATTTGTTTTGCTTAGGCTAGAGTGCTTTCACAAGTTCTTTATTGTATAAAAAATTTGAGGGGGAAGTGATTTGAGGAAGCAGTAGCTAAGTATTAATATCCCTTTAGATAGTCTCTTAAACATTTTTGATTAGTTGCTTAGATCTTCTAATTTTCAATATGCAACTGCCTAAAGAGTTCGCATATATGTTGAGCATTTTAGCTTTTTTTTTTTTTTTTTCTGACTCTGACCATGCTAAAACACTTTATATCCTAGAAGCTTAGGCTTAGGGATGAATATCAATAGCAGCTTTGTATAAAAGTCGATGAAGTACTTGTGGCCAAACTTGTGAGGTTGTCTTAATGTTTAAAAATGAAGATAAATAAGACTCGAAAATCATTTAAGTGTATTAGGTACTTACTTGCTATTGAAGTTAATACTTTATAAAACAAGGGTCCTGGAGAGCCCTATCTTACTTGTTACGATGTTTATGGGAGGAAAAAAAAAATAAAACAGTACCTTAAATAAAAGAAGAAAAGTAATAAAATTCTCTTTAGCTCTGGCTGAATATAATTTTCTGGGTCTCGTCTTACATATATTAAGCAATAAGTTTATTGCCTATGAATTCAGTCAAAAATAAATCAAGGAACAATGTATTCATATCCCCATCTATCCCCCAGACCATTATATGCTTCATAGTTACATAGTTTAATCTGAAAGGTAGGTTATTTTTGAAACAATTCTGTAACTATCAAAAAAACCTCCTCCAGAGTGGCCATGTTGGTTACATAAAGAAGTACATAATTTATAAAAAGAGATAATAATCATCATTGTTTTACAGTAATTTTAATAAATACAGTAACTTAATAATACCCAAACTTTTCCTAACAGAAAGCTAAAAAGAAATATCTCCAATTTTAAAATAAATAGATTGAAGTAGCTTCAACCATTGCCTTTTGATTCTTCTCTTAAGGGTACATTTAGTCATAAAAAGCTGAGCTGTGGCACTATTAGCTTTCTTCATAAAGGGCAAGGATTCCTTCAAACCTTCTCTCCCTCTCAGAAGCTTGTTTTCTTGGCCAGACATAGGCCAGAGGCTTTTTTGACCTCTTTATTGATAGGTAAATACTGTATGAGAAAAGGATATTTGAAACACTGGTTTTCTAATTTTGTTTCCATCAGCAAATTTCTCAGTCAATCTACTTTTCACACCTCTTTTGCACATTTTTTTTTCCTTTCTTTTGGTACTATAAGTTTTAACCTGAAAAGAGCTATCTTTTGATAGCTTTCAGACTGCACAGTGGATCTATATTCCATTTAATGAGTAATATGCTGGGCCAGTGGTTACCTGCAATCTTTCAGCAGATCCAACAGTGTCATTGTAAAATATAGGATTCAGCCAACACTCAACTGCTGACAGCGCATTCTGTCTGTATTACATAAATGTGTGGTGGACAGAAATGATAAGCAAACATCAAAATGACATAGAGGGAAACCAGTGTGACATTAATAGATGCATAAATATATGCAGAGAATAAGCACTGCTGTGTCTTGGTCTGATCCTCTAACCTTTACAAAATATGTCGTCTGCAAAAAGTAATCTGTGCAAAACACTCTTCACAGTAATTCCTTCATTAAAATACTACAGACACTGGCATATACAGACACTTGCATAAGAATTCTGGTTTAATATCATAGGAAGGTTCAGTGCTAGTTATTTTGTGATGAAGCCACCTAGTCAAGGAATACAAATAATGTTGTACTCCTTCACAGTTTACAAAGTATTGAAGTGTGAGATATATAGAACACTAATCCTCAATCCTTAATTTGAAATATAAATAATGCATAATTAATATATAAATAATAATAAGTACACATATTTATAAAAAATTATACATATACAGAAACAATATTAATGACTTTGTATAAATCTTTGCCTGTACTGAATGCATTAAACATATGTATGTGATGATAGGATATTTAAACATAACGGTTATAAGCAATGACTTTGAAAAATTATTCTATTTCATTATGAATTTTGATAATTTACTTCATATTGGATTTAAGAATAGGCCTTTTCTCTTTTTTTTTTTTTTTTCCCATGGAAGAAACAGATTCTCAGTATCATAGGTTGTAATACTCTCCTTGAGATTATGAAACATTCAAGTTCTAAAGTCTTTTTCTGCCTAAAAAATGAAAAAAATCATTTCTGTATTTTTGATGGGTATAATGTCAGCAAATGTTGTAACTTCAGAGAATTGGCATTTTGTTAAGAAAATTTTGTGAACAGCTTGGGAAAGCTGCCAAATACTTCCTTAATGCCTCCTGTGAGATATCCTTTGCCCTAGAATGATCCTCCAACAAATATGAACTTAATTTAAAGTCATATCTGTAAGATTCTCTCTTTTATTTTGTAGGAAAAAGCCATTTGTGTTTGGAATTATAGTTCAAAAAGTTTAGTTTTATGTTCTTAATCTAACATTCGCTTCCTATTTCATATTTTTTTCATACAGTTGTCAAGTTAGTGGGTGCATTTTAACTAAATCTGCTAAAGTTTAATTTCCAAGTTTCCACGACTAAAACTGCAAGATAAACTAATAAGAGAGAAAGAGAAAAGGTCAGATATTGCTTTTGGTGTTATGGTTATTGTATTTGGATTTTGGTATTGCAAAGGAAAGGAACTTTTCAATATTATTCTGTTGTAAAGTAGAGGTTCTAGAACTGCCTGATACCATGTGAAGGAACTATTAACATAGGTAGATTTCTCTTTCTATGACAGCAAACACAAAATTATTAAGGGGAAAAGCGTGAGTTTATCTAGCCATTGAACTACATAACTTTGAGCAGAAAGACCAATGTGCATTTAATCTTCTTATATTTTAAAATATTTTTCCAAGCACAGCAAAATAAAACTGACGTATTGCTTTCTTAGAATTTATATTATACTTGTACTTTTTCATTTATTATTCCTTTTTCTTGTCCTTCCTGCTATCCTTGAACCTCTAATTTATAATCTCTTTTAAGTTATTCATGTAAGAGATCATGAAAAGTAATGATGAAAAAATGAATTATTTGAGGGAGGGGGAATGACAAGGAATGACACTTCTCAGTAAAAGGTGGGATTGTTTTATTTTATTTTATTTTATTTTATTTTATTTTATTTTATTTTATTTTATTTTATTTTATTTTATTTTATTTTATTTTATTTTATTTTATTAAAAAAGTATATCAGTCTCCAAGGTAAGGATAATGACCTGTAAAACTGAAAAATGAAGTATAATGTAAATGCTAATGGATCGAAGGTAAATGTCATAGTTCCATGTCTGTTCTTTGAGCTATTGTTAAATCTATTGGAAAAATAACATAGTATGATAGATTTGTCATATATTTAAGTAAATTTTAGCTCAAAGTCACATCATGGACAAACTTAATGGAGTTTGATGGTTTAAAGATAGACAGGCAGATAGTTAATGATACTGTGGTAGCCAGTATTTTGGGTCTTTGCAGTAAGTAAATATATGTGTGTTTTGCTCTGTACCTCTGAAGGTAATGGTTCTCCTTACACAATTTCAAAACCTAGTTGATATCCCTATACTTATACATATTTTAGTCTCATTGTAAAAACAAAACTGATGATTCCAAGTTTCCTGTTTCTTTTGATATATTTCCATCTCTCATATCCCTCATATATCTGAATTCTGAATAGAGCTTTCAAAAGAAGCGTTACTAATATTTTGATATTCATGCCATTGAGGTGTCTGCTCAGAGAGACTAATTATCCTTCTTCATTTTTCATAGAATTATTTATATAGAACTGTCACTGTTTGTAACAGTTCTTTTGTTCCAACATGCTTTGTAGACACAGACTAAACACCTTTGCCTATGTATCAATATATTTTAGGCTGTTTGGAATTGAAAGAAGACACCATTGAAAATCTTCTGGCAGCTGCCTGCCTCCTCCAGCTCCCACAAGTAGTAGAAGTTTGCTGCCATTTCCTAATGAAGCTTTTGCACCCATCCAACTGTCTGGGAATACGAGCATTTGCTGATGCACAAGGATGCACAGAGCTTATGAAGGTGGCTCACAACTACACCATGGTATGGAAGAATATTGTATAACATTGAAATTATGATGTGTGGATGTTCTGTTTCTTCTCTAAGTTACAGATATCTTGCTGGAGATTATGAGCTGGAAATTCTTCTGCTATTGCTTTTGTACTTCACCTTACAAATTGTCCCTTTGAAGCCATTGGATTTATAATGCCTCTGAACTTCAGTGAAGTTGTGAGATTTCACTTATTATGATGAAGGCACTTGCTGCTGAGTTTTAGAACAGTGTATAATTAGATTCACATCACAAATAGATGATAATAGTAAAATTTTTGTAAGACATTAGTATATTCCCATTTTAATTACTGCTTCTTTTTATTTGATGTTAGAGTAGCTTTCTAATTGTCATTGTTCTGCAATATGACATCAAAGAATATATTTTTCTTCTAAACCATTATCTGTCCTTCAATTCATCTGTTCAGTAGTCTAAGAAAGAAAGTTGAAGATGTGAGGATTTTATCTGACAATGTTTTAAATTTCTCTAATTATACCTGACCAAGCTGGTGTGACATTAAAATTAAAAATTAAGCAGAATGAATGAAGTGAAAATATGTTACTTATTCAGAAACTAAATCATATCAGTAGCAATTTAATTCTGCATAGTTTGACAAAGTTGAAAACATCTGAGTCATTAAATTAAGCTTACATAAAAAATATATCATTTTAGAGAAATAATGGCCCCTTACTGTCCAAACTGAAATAATTAGTGAAGTAACACGGTATGTTTCAATGAATCTGCTTAATCGTCTAGAAGTTAAAGCTTTATTTTATTTTTAAAGTACACACTTATTCTTTTGCATAACTAATATCATATTGTAATTCATAGATTTACCATTGCAATTTAAGTATTTGCATCTATTTTACATCCATGGACCTAGTTCTCTGTCTGCTTTTAATTTTCCCTCATTTTAGGCAAGTAAATTCTAGTCTTCTGAAACCAGAATAGTCAGTTTAACATTTTTCTACTATCAATGGAGAGAAATAGACTGTCAGAGCAGGATTCATGTGATATATTTTAGAATAAGATTAATTGCTATTTTTTCTCTACTAATAATACAAGAGTGCTTGGAATTGTTAACTCAAGCTCAGACGAGTAACTTAAGTGGATTTTTTTTTCAAATCTATCTAATGTAAATACTGGTTTAAAAGCTTCTGATATAAAGGAAGGATAGTGGATTAATGAATACAACTTTACATTGTAGCTGTATCTCTTTGCAAGAAAAGAAATTTATTTCTACATGTGTTTCAATCTCTAGAAAAAAAGTCTTTTTCTGGATTTTTGACTAAAATCTGTAGGTCTATTTTAACAATTCCTTAACATGTGCTGTTTAACATAGTTTATAGGCAGGGTTATTATTAGCGTTTCTATTGTGTAAAATAGCTCACCAATTAAACCCTGGCTAGAAAACAACTTTATCAGCTTCATATCATACTTTTAATATGATTGCAGTACATTATAATATACACATTTGACCACATCTGTCTGATTGTCTAGGCTATTTGGGTTCCAAACAGCTTCTTGTCCTCAAATTGAGGGCTGGTCTTCTATTTAAAGGGACCTGGACAGGCTGGAGAAACAGGCTGACAAGAAATTCATGCAGCTCAGCAAATGGAAATTCAAAGAACAGCAGGCTAGGAACAAGTAATTCCATACCCCAGTTCAGGATGAGCACTGTCTGTCTAGGAAGTACTTCTGCAGAAAATAGACATGGGGTTCTGGCGGACAGCAAGTTAGAAACGAGCCAAGGAGATGGCTCTTCTCCTCCACGTGGCACTTGTGAGACCACATCTGGGGGATTCTGTCCAATTTGGACTCACCAATACGCAGAAGACGATGTTCTGGAGCAAGCTCAATGGAAGACATCAGGCTGTTCAGGGGGCTGGGGCAAGTGGAGGATATGAGGGCTGGACTTGTTCAGCCTGGAGAAGGGAGGACTAAAACAAACTTTATTGCTGACTACAACTACCTGATTTTTTATTTTTATTATTATTATTTTCACCATGAGGGTAATACAGTATTTGAACTAAAATTCAGGCATTTTCTGGGATCTTCTTGACTGTAAATGTCACTGAGCCATATATGAGCTGTATCCATGAAGAAAATGCAGAAATGGAGCAAAACTTCAGATTTTTTCTGTGCTTTTTAAAATTATTTTTAAGCAATTTACAGCAGATGAGATCACCAGAGCTAACATTTTGGTTACTTTTATTGGCAACAAGTTATTGGTATATTGGTACGTTAGCAACAAGTTAGTAATGACATATTGAAAGCTTAAAGCATTCTGTCAATTTGTGTTTCTTCTTATTCTTTTCAGGCATATATTTCCAAAATGTATTATTATATAAAATATCCTACTTAAACTGCAAAAAGAAAACATAATTTGACAAGAAGACCTATTGAGACTGTGTTAAAAATGTATGGCATGTTGCACTTAATAAATGAGCCATGAAAGTTTTTTTCTTAGGATAGGTGGCGTTCATACTTAACACAATATAGAGAAGGAAAAAACTTCTTTCACCTTTTTTTTTTTTACTTTATTTTTATTGTTGTTCCCTTAATAGCAACATTCAAAAATTGTCCAAACAGCAAAGAGAATGTTTTGATAAGTTAAAGTACTCTAGAAACTGTGGAAAAGATTGTTTTAAATAGAAAAATGTTACTCATATTGCTGAATATTTTTTGTCTCAAAAGAAAATATACTATGTTATTAACACTTAGAGTGAAGAAAGGAATAGTTTTGAGGAAAATGTTTTAAGATATAACTTTTAAACATATAACATATAACTTTCCCATTGATCGTAGGATATTTATGGGTTTATTTTCTTAATTTGTTTTTGTTTATACTTATTAGGAACAATGTATTGCTTAGTTGCACAGAAAATATCACTGCTACTGCAATATACTAAGCATTATTTTTAGTGTACTTTGCACACACTTGAAAATTATAATTTTTAATACTCCTCTCCCAAGCTGAAAAAATATATTCTGCTTTAATGACATTGTTTCTTTTTCCTTTTTTTTTTTAAACCAAACATGTCTTAAGATCATTTATTACAGATTTTTACTGACATTGAAGTAAAGTCAAAATCTCTAGTCTTAACCCTAAAAAGATGTTAAAATCATAATTCACTTTTAAGTGTGTGCAAAGTACACTAAGACTTCTGAAGGAATGTCTTTCATTATTTTTATATATGTTCTTTGGTCAAGTTTAATCATATGGATTATCAGATTTTCCTTAGTCATGAATTCTGTCTGCCTAAATTTAGTGTTTTTAAACAACTAGGCTTAGGTAAACAGTATCTCAGTATATCAGTATCTCAGTATCTCTCTTTGAGACCTGGAAAGGCTCCTCCCTCTAGCACTTTTTTTCTGGAGTTCTGCCAGTTTCTGATAGGCATCTAAAACAGTAACTTTCTTGGACAGATCCTAATTGCATTCTTGGAACTTACACTGTTTAGAAAGCAGTAACATTAGGCAGAGATTCTTTTAAAATATCTTTAATCTGTATCTGCAACCAAGCTCTGGAAGACTCTGCTTTGTGGTATGTTTTGTATCTTCTGGATTCTAATCATTGTACTTGGAATAACCAGCATGGAGAAAATCATGGACTGCAAAAGGTTATACATATTATGTGCAACTTCCGTAGTTGTACAAATTACACATACAATTTAGAAAACTATTCCTGCATCATTGCGAGGATAAGTGAGAAAATGCTGTCAAAACCTTGCTGATCACTGGATCTCTGGGACTCTTTCTAAATTTGTAATTCTTATTCTTCTCTTATGCCTGTTAGAGCATGCCTGGAAAAAAAACCCATCTTGTATATTTTGACATATGAAACATGGTGAAGTACAGATTCCTATCCCCTAATTTTTATTTATTATTTGTATTTTTTTTTCAAGGGAATTAAATTTTAGTTCACTAGCTTGGAGTAGAAAGTTTAATTATGCTTCTGCTTTGAATACTTCCTCTGCCTGTATTGAATGCTAATTACAGAAATCAGTCTATCCTAGATAGTCTATCCTATCCTATCCTATCCTATCCTATCCTATCCTATCCTATCCTGAATTCTGATTGTTAAAGTTGCTCTTTTAGCACTCTAACTGTTCTAAGCCAATTTCTTTTATACCTAACATTCTCTGGACAAACAAAATTAATTTAAAATTTCTCCAAAGAAACCAGAGTAATTGAAATTAAATAAGCCTATAGACAGTTATAGCTATGCAAAGATGAAAAAAAATGGAGAATGGAGGGAGAAGAACGTACTATATACCTCATACAAGTTTTCAAGTGTATTTTTGAGACTTAGAATTTTCTCCATCTCACCAATTTAAAAGAATATTTTAAAAGACTGAAACTGTGAAAATAATAAGTAGATTCCCAAAACAATATTCACAGTCTTATTTGCAATCACAAAATTTGATATTTATATACAAAACTGAGTTCAGACTACTCAGTTTTCTTGCTATCATTACTTTTTTAACATGTTACAGTGATACTACTTTCCTTTAATTCATTACATTAGAATATGATCTTGACTCTCTTTTTCTTCCAATTCCCTTTTTACTCCTCTTTCCTTTTACTATTTTACTTCTTCCAACTCCCTACTTTACTCTCTTATGAGAACTTGTACTTTATACATCACTTTTCATATTTCTGGTGTTTTTAAGATGCTTGTTCAGAAATAATTACTTGCACTCAGCACAGTGTGTTCCTTTTTCATAAGTTCTCAGTTTTTCTAAGTACAACTTTGACAAGTATCCCTCATCAAGGCATAGTAGGAAAGGAGGAAAGTAAAAATGTAGCATATGGAAAACAAGATAGTTAATAAGAAATAAAGAATAAGATGCTGATAGTAAAATGATGTGAAATCTCTTGGAAAACAGTTAAGCAAGTAGCCAAAATACTGCATTAATCATAACTTGATGACTTTCTTATCATTAGAAGTCTCCATCTTACATAAACTAACTAACTAACTAAATAAATA